AAAACAAGGGCAGGGGCAGACAGTGTAACAGACCATCAATAGCTCATATTCAAGTTCAGGCTGAAGCTGAACATATTTCACCTGAATTTAGAGATCATCTAAAGAACAGATTTGATACGTCAGACACTAAAGACCAGACCAAAGTCCAGAAGAGTTGTGGGATGGCACCAATAACATCATACAGGAAGAAAGCAAAAGGCCTTTTAAAAAAGATAAGAAAGATGGAAAAGATCAAAATGGATGTCAGAAGAGACTCTGAAATCTGCTCTCCAATGTAGAGACACTAAAGCAAATGGAAGAAATAAGGAGGTAAAAGAGCTGAATAGAAAATTTCAAAGAGTAGTTTGAGAAGATAAAGTCAAATGTTGTAACAAAATGTTCAAAGACCTGGAGTTAGAAAACTTAAAGGGAAGAACGCACTCAGCATTTCTCAAGCTGACGAAACTGAAGAAAAAATTCAAGCCTCAACTTGCAATATTGAAGGATTCTATGGGCAAAATATTGAATGATACAGAAAGCATCCAAAGAAGATGGAAGGAATACACAAAGTCTCTGTACCAAAAAGGCATGGTCAATGTTCAACCATTCAAGAGGTAGCATATGATCAAGAACTGATGATCTTGAAGGAAGAAGTCCAAGGTGCATTAAAGGTATTGGCAAAGAACAAGGCTCTGGGAATATCACTAACATATCACATATAAGTAAAATTTTGCTAAAGATAGTCCAAAGATGGCTGCAAACGTACATTGCCAGATTCAAATGAGGGCGTGGAACTGGAGATATCATTGCTGATGTCACATGGATATTGGCTGAAAGCAGAGAATACCAGAGGAAGCAGGAAGACTGTAGAAAAATTGATGCATTTGAGTTATGATGTTGGAGAAGAATATTAAAAATACCATAGACTGCCAAAAGAACAACCAGATCTGTGTTGGAAGTACAACTGGAATGCTCCTTGCGAAGACAGGATGGCCAGACTTCAGCTCTTGTAATTTAAATAGGTTGTTAGAAGGGACCAATCTTTGGAGAGATACATCATGTTTGGTATGGAGGGTCGGAGAAGAAGAGGAAGACCCCCAACTAGAAGGATTGGCATAGTAGGAATAGGTTCAAATGTAGCAACGACTGTGAGGGTGGCGCAGGACTTTGGCCAGTGTTTCAATCTGTTGTGTACTGGGTTACTGATAGTCAGGACTCACTTGATGGTACCTAACAACGAACTATAGAAGGAAGGACCCTAGTGGCACAGTGGTTAAGCACCTAGCTATTAACCAAAAGGTCAGTGGGTTGAAACTACCAGCAGCTCTGTGCGATACAATATCTGGTGCTCTTCTCCCACAAAGATTACAGCCTAGAAACCCCATGGGGGAGTTCTATTCTGTTATCTAGGGTTGCTATGAGTCAATATGAGCTAGAATCGACTTAATGGCACATAACAATAAGCGTAGGAAGGTAGACCCAAATATTGCTGGTTTGTTTGGTATGGTGCTGTACTGTACTGATCATAAGGTCAGAGGTTCAAATTCACCAGTCTTCCTCAGAAACCCTATACAGGGCTCAGAACTGAATCCTTGGCATTTAACAGCAACAATCTGCTTATGGAAAGATAGTGAAATAGAATATATGGGGATGAAGATTTTTTTTAAAGTTCATCCATTAATCTTTACTATGCCGCATTTTTAGCATCAACTATTATTTATGTGGGGTCCTGGTGTGGCGCTGTGGGTTAATGTGCTGGACTGCAAAGTCAGTTTGAACTGCAAGGTCAGTGGTTCAAGCTCACCAGGTGCTCCTCAGAAATGCTATACAGGGTCACTATGGGTTGGAACCAACTAGATAGTATTTAACAACATTATTTACATAATTATTTTCAAATAATTTATTTTTATTGCTCTTGAAATTATATACAGTACACCAATTTAACAATGTCTACACGTTCAATTCTGTAACAGCAATTATACTCAAGTTGTACAGCCACACCCTCTTTTCCCCAGTTGTTTGTTCCTTACTCATTAGCATAAACTCAATGCCCCCTAAACTTCCTCTCTTACACCTTTAAGTTGCTGTTGTCAATTTGAACAGATGGCTGTTTAAAAGAGCAGAATGCTCAAAGCAGACATTATTTATTAAGGGAAGCCATTGTTCAGTTTTAAGACTTCAAGGGAGATTTCTGGTTAAAGATGATTTCAAGGGAAATAGTTCCCCAGCCTCAATGGCTCTTGGAAAGTTAGATTTCATGAGATCTTCGGATTCTGTTCTACATTTCCCCACTTTTGATTAGGATTCTGCTATAGGAGTTCTGTCTGATGTGGGCTGCAGGATAATGCACTAGACCGCAAGGATGGTGGTTCAAGTTCACAAGCCACTCCTTGGAACCCTATACAGGGTCACTATGAGTTGGATTTGGCTCGGGGGCATGTAACAGCAACAACATAGAATCTCTGATCAAAAAATTCAGTACCAGCTAACCCATTCAGTTTTTTCTGGTCATACCCATTTCCTCCTCTTATTCCTGTGTCTTCTTCCTCTGTTGTACCAGGAAGACAGACACCAATTATATCTTGGATGGCGGCTTGCAAGTTTTTAAGACCCTAGGCACTACATAACCAAGCAGAAGGTAAAAAACTTCTTTCAACCCTGACAGCCTCTGGCTAATCTGCAGCTGTTTTAGAATAATCAAGGGATAGTCTAAGAAATCTGACCTGTGAAATCCATGAAATGTCATATCTGACTTATATCTACTTCCACACCAATTAATACATGAACCTTTAAAAGTCAAATCCTGACCTATAAAATGCAGGCCTTTGTGGAATAATAAGCAGCCTGGTAATACCAATTAGAGAAAAACATAGAAGACTTATAAAAAATAGACATTTATTAACAAGAAGTTATAAAATTCACAATCTCCTTCTTTAAAATACAACTTTAAAAACACAGGTAGAGGTCAAACCATCTTCACACACTGGGAATTTAGTGTAAAATCCTTTTATATAGCAAAATAATGATCACTAAGAGAAATGTATGTGTTTGGAAAGTTATTCAAAACTTCACACTATGACTTCTTCCAGAAAGAAGACCTTATTTAAACATCTCTTTGGGGTGTGGTGGCTCTCTACAATAAGCACTACTGCAAACCACAGGAGAAAGATGAGATTTTCTGTTTCCACAAACATTTAAGTTTCAGGAAACCTATACAGGGTCGCTATGAGTCAGAAGTATTTGATGGCACTTACCAACAGCCTGATGCTCTCTGAGCCGAGGTACTGGACATTTTAGTTTAATATCCATGAATCCCATAAGCACTCAGAAGCTGTGCCTCAAGTTGAGGTAATGCCTTTGAGGAAGGAGGACACCTTCAAGATGAAGTGTTTGTGATGTTGCTGTGGCCTCCAAATGCTTCCCACTTGCTCTAACTCAGACCACTCCACAGCCCCCAGAGCTTGCAATTACAGAAAATCCCTTCAGCTCTTCCTGTCAGGGGACCAAGTCAGAGGCCTGGGTCTGTGCTCTCATGGACCTCCACACACATCCCAACTGAACCACACTTCTGGAACACCAGGTGGGTGTCAGGCATCTGCAGCAGAGGCAGTGATGTCCTTGCAGAGCATGAGGATAGCGTCCTCCGGGGTCTGGCTTTTGTCACCACCACTTGTTGCCTCGTCTACAGCATCGCAGATCATTCGGGCGTGGGCCAGCAGGGCGTCAGGCCGAGCGGCTCCCAGCCAGAGGTCCTTGATGTACAGAGTCACCAGGAAGGCGGCAGCAGCTGAGGAAGAGTCAGATAACAGGGCCATGAGGACCACCCCTGTCCCGGCCCCAACGCACAGTGGCTTTGCCAGGAACCCAAATGAATAGATGGATGAAAATTAGTTTTATTTCTGCTTGACGTTAGTGTTAATCTTTTTTATTCATTCTTTCTTGAGATGAATGCATGTGGATCCCTAAAAAAAGTTGCTATATCCAAGCCTACTTGACTCTACTCACCTACATTAAGAACCAAAGTTGGCACTTAGAAAACATCTTCAAAGGATCTTTCTGCATTAGTATTTCAATAGACCTGGAGAGAAGCTTCAGGGGCAAAAAGACTCCCTGTCTACCGGGCGAGTTCAGGCACTCTGGCTTCTGGCCCTGCCCCCTTCCCTCATCCCCTTACATCTTGAAGTCAGCCCAGAGATGGAAGGGCACAGGTACATGGCTACTTCAGCCCTCCTCGGGTTCATCCACAGTACTTTAAAGCACTTGGCACCCAGGCCTTCATTCGCCCATTCATTTGCTCACCCAGACCCTTACGGATCATCTGTTAACAGTCAAGCAGATACACTGTATGCATCTACAGATACACAGGCACTCCCTCACACACACCTAGACATAATGCCAACCACCATTCTGCATCTGAGTCGCAGACAAGAAAGCATGGAAGTCATGGTTTTTTTTACAGGCCAGGACAGCCCGTGGGGAGATGTGGGGACTGTGCAGTGGGCACCTTTCTCCACTACTATCCCACCCACCTACAGAGAGAACATTACCTCTCACGGCTTCATCCTCCTCAGTCAGAGAAGTATGGCACAGGGCCTTGATGGCCAGGTGGAAGGGGCTCTGCACGTGGCCCTGGGAGGCCACCAGCTGCAACATGACCGTATTGAACAGGCAGGTGACCTGTTGTGCAGGGCCTGCCAGCCCCTCGACCCCACAGAGTCGACTGTACAGCTTAAAGAGGCCACTCCTCACTGCGCCATCCTGGAGAAGCTCAGCCACGACCACCGGCTGTGGCAAAATGTGGCTTTTGAGCCAGTTGAGGAGTTCTGCAGCCTTGTCCCCGATGGGTGGGCATGTGGCCATGGTCCGCAGCACCCAGCTGGCCACCAGGGAGGTAGAGGCATGCACAGAGCCCGCAGCATCACTCTCAGGGGTGGCTCCATCCTCGGGCTCTGGAGAGAGCACAGGGCTGGAGGACACAGGCTCCCAATGGGTCAGGACGGACCTCAGAAGGCCCCTGCAGGTATCCAGGCTGGCCGCCCTCAGCTCAGGGGCAGGTGCCTCTTCCGCCTCCTCAAGCCTCCTCTTTCGGCTCCGGGAGCCTTTGGCTCGGGCTATCCCAATGGGCTTGTTCTTATCTTTGATCATTTCTGTCACACACAGAGGAAGGACAGGCGTCAATGAGGGAGAACAGATGGGTGGGCACAGGCTTACAGCACAGTGGGAGGTCCGGAGTAAACTAGAATGGCGGGTATTGTGATGACAATCCACACATTTAACCTGCCTCACAGTCACCTTAGGCACCAGCTGCCACCCTTTCCTTCTCTCACTTTTGAGATAACAGATGCAGTGTGAGTGGCAGGGCTGGGACTTCTTCCTGGTGGCTGGGCCCCAGGTAGTGCCTCTGGACCCCAACTCTGCTGAAAGGCATGACAAGTAGCTGTTGGTTCCCTGACACCCTCAACCCTATCCCTACACATTACAGGTGAGCAGCAGGTGACAAGACCCGGCCAAGGTCACACACTCCTAAGTGGCAGGCCTGGAACTCATACCAGGTCCCCCAGCTGAAAACTCTGTGCGCTTCCATTGTCCTCCCCACCCTGGCAGACGGCCGCCAACACCACAGACGGTGGGCATTTTCCTTTTCCTTACATTTACGGTCAGTGAGCCCAGGGCCTTCAGGAAGCCAAGAAAACGAACACAAGTGTGTGCAGCCTTCCTCCCCCTCCCACAGAAACTCACTGCTGACGCTTCCCTACACACACTGCATGTGTTTGCTTCCTTGCTGGACAGGCTGCCCCCACAGGCTGCACTCCTACCCCAGAGGACCAGGCCTGGTGTGTGATGAGCACAGGGTGGTCCACCCCCTTCAGGGCTGTGCCCACCTCTAGGCCTCTTTAGCTTTGAGAACTGCTCAGGGAGGGAAGCGGACTGGCTAGGTGGACAGAGCACATGTGGTGCATTCCCGGGTCGTAACACTCACTCACGAGCTCCTTGACTTGGTATTTCTCAGCGGTGGCTTTCAGGTCTTCCTGGAGCTTGGTGTCTCTTTCGATGAGGCTCCACTTGTGCAAGAGAACCAAGACATCCTTGGTGGAGAGAACCTTCTCGTTCACGGTGAAGCGGTTCATCTCCTTAAAGGCCTGTGTGACAGTGGCTCGGTACCTCAGCATGGAGTCGAGAGCCCAGAAGAAGCTGGTCACCTGGGCAGGGTCCAAGGTGGGCCTGTTCAGGAGCCAAAGCCACAGTCTGAAGCCAAGGAGGTCCTCTTCCCTCCCCAACCTCGGCAGCCCAGGACTGGTGAGGCTGGTCACACTACAGAACAGTGTGGCAACGGTCTATTCCACAAACCAGGCTTCCCTGGATAAGACCCTGAATGCGGAGCCCCAGTGCCAACCCAGGGAAAAGGGGAGCCACTCTGGGTAGGCCGAAAGCAGGGTCCTGAGCCTGTCAACCTGGAGAACCCCAAAGGATCCCTTTAGAAATCAAGACTAAATGGAATAGGCAGGCAGAGGAGGCCAGAGAGTCAGGGTGCAAGGGCCGACCAAAGCCCAGCACCAGGGCTGCCAAACCTTCTCCCTCAGGCGGGAAGGACCAGGCCACCTCAGACAGAGGCCATCACTGGGAGGAGCCCCATCTCTCTGAACATGGAGAGAATAAAAATTCCACAGCAACCATCCCATAACAATTTAAACCAAATGGTCATTTCAAATAAAGATCAGTTCACAGACCAACATCTCTTCCAAATACCACAGAGTAAGGAACGTGGCTTATCAGCATGGATTTAATGATTTAACTTGTAACAACACCAGACAAAAGGTCTTATTCTTTACTTAAAAAATAGAAGAATTCATTGTGAGATTCCAGTCCATTTGTCATCAATTTTCTGGTTCAGTGTAAGCTACCTCAGTTCTAAAATCACAGCTATGAGTGCGGGCAGTATATTTTCTCTTTCACCTCTAGCTCTCGGAGACTAAGGTCACAGGAAACTATGCTCCCCCATCCCACACCACTTATTCCAGTTGTTGGATCAACATATCAAGGTAGGTGGTTCACCTGCTAGAAGCGACATGTTTTCCATGTGTAAGTGTGTTAAGTTCTCAGGGCCTTCCCAAGGACACTTACGTGGCTGAAGCAGAAAGGAGAAAACACCTAAGACAGATTTCAGAAGGCACCCACAGCTGACCAATTCCCTCCAGGCCCCAGCCCAGACCTACCTGCAGAACCGTGACTAAGAAATGACACCCACAGTGACTAGTGGTGTTGGCCAACAAAGACCCATACAGCACAAAGGGGTCACTCATGGCTGGGGGAGACACTCACACGTTTACCTTAGGTGCTTCATGAGCGCAGTGAGAACATAAAGGAACTCATCGATGAGGTGCAAGGCCAGCAGCTTTGGGGGCTCCTGGGACCTCGGTTTGCAAGTGGCCTGGCTCTCTGGATCCACCACCCTGTCTCCCAGGTTGGTCACCCATAGGGTGTGCACCAAGGAGATGATGTTAGAGAGCAGCTGGGTCTCCACAAACCTGGAACCACACACAAGTAACAGTCATGCATTGTTCACATCGTCCCAGTTCAGGGAGACCTGTCTGTCAGGGCAAGGAAGAGACAGTACCTAGTGATGGTTTTACCTCTGTTCCCAACATTTAATCTGCTCACCTCCACCTCAGCTCTAACCCAAATGAACACATCCTCCACAGAAAAGGTGTTTGCTGGATGCATGCTACTTTAAGACCCAGGAAGAGGCCACCAACACTCCTTCCTTCCTAAGTCTCCAACCAAAGGAAGGTTCTGAAGCCACGATGGACCAATGGTAAGGGTTGCCATTCCTAAAAACAACTTATTTTCAAAACAGGTAGTTGTCTGCCAGGAATGGAGAATTGGCTATCATGCATTTTATAAGTCTGAATGAGTTTAGAAGTTGAGGTCCACATTCTAGACAGAGGACACCCTTTTCTTTCCGAGAAAGTTTAGAAAATACTTATAAACAGTGGCACAAAAAGGCCAGACTCTCCCCAGGCTGATTACAAGACAGATAGACAGACTTATGGTGTGGCACTGTAGGATCAGCACTCAACTGTGAACCACTTCAAACCCACCAGCTGCTCCTCGGAAACTCTCTACAGGGTAGCTATGAGTCGGAACTGACTTGACAACATCAATAACATGAAAGACAGAGCCCCTTGGCCCACCAAGTGTTGTGAGCTAGAACAAGATATGGGTTCAATATGAAATCACTGAACCAGTTCTGTACCGAGGTCTGGTGCTGCGCTGACGGGGGCGGGGGCACTGTGACCCCAGCTCACTAGGAAGTTACATGATGCTCCTGAATCTGGAGCCTTCCTGTTTCCATGTGATGCAGGGGCTGTATTCTTTACAGTGGTTAATGTACTAACTGCCAACTGAAAGGCTGGAGTTTCAAGTCCACATAGTGGCACCACAGATGAAAGGGCTGGACTTAAATTAAAAAAATAACAACAAAAAAACCCAGCTATTGAAAACTTCATGGAGCACAGCTCTACTTTGACACATGGGGTCTTCATGAGTTACGGTATTCCTTAAAACTTTAAAAAACCAACAATTCACCACCATCACGTAGAATTCTGACTCACAGCGACCCTGTAGGACAGAGGAGAACTGCTCCATAGGGTTTGGTGCTGCAGGAAAATGCACTGGACCGCAAGGTTAGTTTGAATCACAAGGTTGGCAGTTCAAACCCACCAGCCACTCCTTGGAAACCCTATGCTGGGTTGCTATGAGTCATAATGGACTCGATGGCACTTGACGACAACAATAACAGCATAGCTTTATGGAAGCAGACAGCCTCATCTTTCTCCTGGAGAATGGCTAACGGGTTCAATCTGCTAACCTGGTGAGCAGCCCAGTGCTTAACCACAGTATCACCAGGGCTCTCATGTTGAGGCCATTTCTGACATGGAAAGCTTGCCAGCATATCAAGACTGACCTGTGCACAAAACATTGAAAGTTCTGCCAATCGAGCTTTGCCAAAGGCAAACCACAGCTGGTGTGAGAGCCAGGCCGCGGTAGACAGTCACCAGAGAGAGCTACTGAAATGAGGAGGAGCCACCCAGCACTGACGGGTATAGATGATATGGGAGGACACTGAGGTCACCCAGAGTATGGCCCTCATAGGCCACGTCCAATCAACCTAATGCAGGAATACACATCACTGTCTCCATCCCACCCCCGCCTCACGTACGGCAGGTGCTTACCTGCTCTCCAGGATGTGCACAATCCATGTCAGTAGGCTATAGTCTCGTAGGAGTTCATAGGCAGATTTGGCAACCTGAGCGGCATTCTGTAGAATTTCTAAAATCCAATTCTGAAAACCCAGAACAAAAAGAGACTCTTCAATGAATGAGAAAATTCACTGAACTGACAAAGGAACAGCTTTAGAACCACACAGGTATGCTACACGCATGTGGTTGCTGAGGACAAAGGGCTCTGTGCTGAGTCTGAGTCTGGGAGCGCTGTGACAGCCAGAGGACACAGCCACCACAGCACCTGTCACATCCCGGGAGGCTGGGGTGATGCATCATAAGGAGCCAGTGAGGATGTGCCATGGAGACCACAAGACCCAGGGTGCCCGCTGCATGTGCAGCACTGAGCTTAGCTGAGCTGAGGGTGGCACGGACCCATGTCAAGCCAGGCCAAGAGCTTTACGATTCTGACACCCATTAAAATAAAACACGCCACACCGCAAGGTCAGTTTCTTCAGATGTGTTCCTCACCTCATATTCACTCCTGTTTTACCCATATTTTATGTACTATGAGAAACAAAAATCAGTGAGGCTAGAAATTAATTCAAATAACCAACAATTTTCCAATTTACTCCTTTCCACTACCTGTGGCATTTAAAAACACACACATACATCAGCTCTGAGTTCTAGGACACAGTGTTAATTTTGCAGATTCTCTAAACTCTCTGACGCAATCAGTGCGAATTCTCAACATGCTCAGTCACCCAGGTGACCACCAGCTGAAATCCTGGTGACTTCTGAGCTCCTCAGTTTGAGATCTAGTCACTGTTGGTAAGTGCCGTCAAGTCACTTTCGAATCATAGCGACCCTGTATGAGGTTTCTGAGGAGCAGCGGGTGAGTTTGAACCTCCAACCTTGTGATTTAAACAACCTTTTGGTCTAGTGCTTATCCTACAGCACCACACCCGTTGGTGTTGTTAAGTGCTGTCAAGTCGGTTCTGATCCACAGCGACCCTGTATAGGTTTTTTCTAGGAACAACTGGTGAGCTTGAACCACCAACTTGGCAGTTCAAATGCTTTGCAGTCTGGTGCATTAACCCACAGCGCCACACCAGCACTGAGGAGAACTCTTTTTCAGCTCTCTTAGCCAGCTACAAAGGCTCATTACTAATCAGCTTCTCCCTTCTGATGGCAAAAGACAGAGACTCAGTATCAATCAGGGGCCCATGAAGAGGGCTACTGTGAACAGCATGTATCTCAGAGTCAACACCACTGTGGCCACGAATGACTCAGCATGCACTGCACACCTCACGCTCCCTGATCGAAAGCCAGGCTTCAAGTCAGATCAGGAGATCGGGGTAGCAGTCAGATTCAGGCTGGGCCCCGAACTCACCCAGACGAGACTTCCAAATAAACCCTGAGAAAAAGAAGGGGCCTCTCAGGCTCAGATGAACTGATATGTACCTGGGCCACGTCATCACACAGTGGGCTGTTGAAGAAGGACAGGATGACGTGGAAAATCCCTTGTCTGGCGTACAGTTCGTAGCAGTGCTTGTCTCGGATCCCCTGACGCAGGATGCCAAACACCCACTCCTGCTCGGTTTTTTGCTGTAACCCAAGCAAATAGGACCAGATCATTAAACAAATTAAAATTGTTTTATCTATTGTCTAGTGGTGACAAAGATTCCAACATGGCAGCTCCCACCCCCATTTCTGATTACCATCTGTCATCAAGTCAACTCTGACCCATGGATACCTCTTGTGTGTCAAAAGGGTTTTCAATGGCGGAAGTAGATTGCCAGACCTTTCTTCTGAACCTTGCAGTCAGCAGTTGAACAGGTTAACCATTTACATCACCCAAGGAACTCCTCCAATTATGATTATGTTATTAAAAATTCTCAATCTCACCTTTGGTTCCATTTTTCCCTTTATTAATAAAGGAGCAGGTCAGGTTTCAACACTGAACTGGATTAACTCTCTCTCTCTCTCACACACACACACACACACAAATGCCAATAAATCTTAAAACTCTGAAGTAAAAATTTTAAAGTTTTGAGAATCTATGTGAAAAATGAACGCATTCAAGGAAAAGCATTCACAAGACTGTGAGAACTTTAACTTCTCAGACATTTACTTTCTCTCTGTGTGACCTTACTGCCAGAACATGGCTTGTACAACAGCGGTGTCTGGACGGTAGTATGAATGCCAACAGGAGCTGGGTAATCTAACTCAGGAGTGGTCTCAGGGCCTCAAAGACTTCAGAAGCATTACCTCAAAGTCGGAGCTGTAGAAGAACTGGTAGAAGGCTGGGACTTTGTTCATATTCAGATCCTGATGTGACAACAGAAACTTGCTGATCTTCAGGTACATATGCTCCTCTGGGGATACAGCACACAATCGGTCACACAGGTACCCACAGGACAGGGTGGTGAAGTCAGGGAGTGGGTGAGTGGTAACCATAAATCCTATCTCTATGGGGATTGTATGGAGTCTTGGTGTGGTGCTGTGGGTTAATGCGCCAGACTTTGTGAGAACTTTAACTTCTCAGATGGTTACTTTCTCTCTGTGTGACCTTACTGCCAGAACATGCAATAAACAGCAAAGCTGTTTGAACTGTAAGGCTGGCAGTTCAAGCTCACCAGTTGCTCCTCGGAAACCCTATACAGGGTCGCTACGGGTTGGAATCGACTCGAAGGCACTTAACAACAACATGGGGATTATATATCCTTACCAATTCACTCTTGAGAATGAAACTACAGCTAGACACCTTAATTCTACCCTGCATATACAAGCATCCTTTCTGTGATGGGTCCGAAAGCACGCCCATCTCCGATGATCTCCCTGCTATAGCAGTGGTGTGGCGCTGTAAGAGAGCACTGGACTGCGAACCAAAGGTCAGCAGTTCAAACCTACCAGCTGCTCCTTGGAAACCCTATACAAGGTTGCTATGAGTCTGAACTGACCCAATGGTACTTGACAACAACATAGCAGAGGGGGGTGAAGAATGGCCTCAAGCCTCTCACTGAAAAGACACTACCACAGCAAACGAGGTGCAGACGTGTACGGGTAACTGTGCTCCGGGAGGCAGGAAAGACAAATACAGCGAGGCCCCAGTGGGCAGACGCACCCTCCACCTCTACTTCCCCCTGGGTCACTAGCTCCAGCCTGCCCAGTCCCAAGGCCAGGAGGTTAAGACAAAAAAGCATCGTGGTCTCAGCTATGATCTAACAGGCTTTCTAAGTGTCTGCACATAGTTACGTTCTTTCCTCCCAGAATTTCCAAGATGAGGAAAAAAACCAAAATCGTGCCATGAAAATGACAAAGGAGCCAATGGCCAGCAGGAGATATACAGTCTAATAGCAACTTGATACACTCTAACTACTTAAGCTGGGGGTGGGGGGCTGCAGTTAGAGAGGATGTTTCCTCATCTGAATAATTTCCATGGTGCATTAAAAGAACCCTGAGGTCCCTGATAGTACCAACATTCATTCTGTGGTTTCTCTTCAATCATCAAAAAGGGCCTCATGATACACTAACTTCAGCTTGCACTCCCTCAGCAACTCACAGCTGAGGATCCTGAGGCTTTGCTAACTCCCGGACACCTTCTAGGCCATGATGACTAACAGTGGCAGCTAACACTGATGGACATTCCTGGGTGCAGGTTCCGTCAGGGCGGTCATGTTTGTGAGGTCACATCATTCTCAGAGCAGCCCTGTGAGACCGGTGTTCCCCATCTCCGGTTTTATAGCAAGGAACCAGAGGCACAGAGAAGGACAGTAACTGCCCCAGAGGACATGGCTGATGAGCCTGAACTGGAACCTAGGTCGGAGCTGTCAAAGTGGACACATCCCAAGACAGTTGTGATCAGCCTGATTTGTACTCCAATTTTATTTGATGACTGTATATAACTGCAAGAAAATATGAATACAGTCGGCCCTCAGTGCCCCTGGAGGAATGATACCAAAATCTGTGGAAGCTCAAGTCTCCTATACAAAATGGCACCGTTGTTGTTGTTAAATGCCATTGAGTTGACTCCGACTCATAATCGGTGTTGACCCTGTATAGTATTTCCAAGTTGCAGCTGGTGGTGTGAACTATAAACCTTTTAGTTAACTGTCTAGTGCCTATGCTACAGTACCACACCAGGACCCCATAAAATGGCAGTGTTTGCATTAACCCACTCACATCTCTGCACACTTTAAACTTTTGGATTATAATGTCTAACACACTGGAAATACTACATAGCTTTTGAAGGGTTGCTAGCACCTCTTACACCATGTTGACCCGAGGCTGAATGAATCTGTCAGTGGAACCCGAGAACTTGGAGTGCTAGCTTCACGTATTCTCTCCCCTTGTGCCCCTCACCCTAACCAAACACAGCTCTGTACCTGCCTTTCCCTTAACTTTCCCTGCATTTCATCCCAATGGGTTCCATAAGGACTGTCCTACTGCCAGCACTGAATGACCTTGCCCTAGACATACATCACGTCTGTATCATTCTTTTAGGATGGTGGTGGTGGTGGTGGTGGTGCTGATGGTTGTGTGCCGTGGAGTCGGTTCCGACTCAGAGCAACCCCGAACAGGGTTTTTTTGAGACCAGAAAGCCTCATCTTTCACCCGTGGAACGGCTGGTAGCTTCGAACTGCTGACTTTGAGGTTAGCAGCCCAACTCATAACCACTATGCTAATTCACCACAACCTAATACGTCATCAGTGGTACCTGGCTTCAAAATCTGTAGGGCTGCTTTGGCAATGAAGAGTGTCAAGGAGAAAGTGAGTCTCATGTTCTGAGATCGGATCCCATTCCGGACTACATCCAACAGGTAGAGGAGCTGAAAAACGGCAAAGGTAGACGTGAACTTCCAGAAACTCTGTGACCAGCCCTGTCTTGTGCAGAGTGTGGCCACTCCTAGCATCCCAGGGATGGCCCTGCTCACTCACCACCACCCTCTCTGTGAGTCAACCTGCTTTTGTTCCTCCACCACTGTGGGCACAGATGTCTGTGGCCTGTTGTGGATCACTGCTGCCTTTAACCATCAAACTCAGACTCAAGAAATACCCAACAGATCTCTACCTACAAGAAAGATTTGTAGGGGGCAACCCTGAAGGGCCACTTCTGCATCAACATCTTTGTTCTTTATCAGTGGTGTCCTGACAGTAGGTCTTCATGGCTTCAGACACTGCAGAGAGCCGCCCTCAGTCCTCCGGGCAGCCCTTCTAGTACTCACCTGAGGCTGCTCGCGGAACCGTGCTCCCTCCAGCTGCGAATAGTAAGCTGCCAACACGTAGTAGGCTGCTGCCCGCATCTTGGGGTCATAGCTGCTGAGGGCTGCAACCGTCAGGCCCAAAGAATTCGAATCCAAAAATTTTCGACAATCTACCACAAATTCTAGAGGAAAAAATACACACGCACATAAATATTAATTTCCATGGTGCTGTGCAGCCTGGAGAACCAAACCTCCCTGTGTGTCACCAGTATCAACTGCTTCATACAAGCAAGGACACAAGGCAGGAAAAGCCAGGGCATTCAGCCACATGCAAACTAGCCTGACCCATCAATTCACAAAGGATATACTCATGAAGGGGCTTCAAAAGTTCCTGGAAAAATAGAACTGAAAGATAATGGATCACCTATATACTTTGCAACCTTAGTTCGCTCTTCAAACAACATCTCACAGAAAACTGGCCCAGCAAACTGGAGCAAAAGCTATATTCAATAGAGCCTGCTGGTATGGCAAGACTTGGGTTCTCCTGGGCCCAGTGACATAGACAAAGAGGACTAGAGTGGAGAGTGAAGCGTCCAGCTGATAAGAAGAGAGGGCATATGTACAAGAACACCCACACTTGCAGATAATAATCACTTGACCTGGCTTCAATGACTGGATGATCAGAGCTCAACTAGAAGAAGAAAGAAGAGTACAAAAAGAGTAATCGGATACAATTTGATGAACTTGACGTACACCTATGGATGAAGTAGATCAAAAGACGAAATAAATCTTTACAGCGAGGATCATTCCCACCCCCTCCATACACAGGGTAGACAGGGACAGGCAACATGGACATTGGCTACCAAAAATGGGAGAGCTGCAAAGTCAACAAGTGACTGGCTTACAAGCTTTCAAGAGGGAGCCTAGATCCAGAAAGCATGGAGGAAGGTAGACTCTCCACTGAGTAGTATCCAATCTGTCTGGGTGGGGCTGATGAAAGGAGATGGGGATAGGGCTCTTGTGGTACAATAGTGAATGATTGCTATCAGTACTCTCTGTGAGGGTTAGAAACGTAAAGGCAGACGTTTTGGAGCAAAAGGAGGGGAGTGGTTGATTTTGCAGTCCAGGAGCAGAGGTCCCTGGGACCATCCAGGGAGTGAGAGACCCTACCCCGAGAAGCAGTGACACCAGAGATGGAAGCAGAGACGACGACAACGTGGAGAGATGGAGCAGCTGGGGACTTTAGACCCAGAGAAGGGGAAAGGCTGTGTGCTGATGACCAGGGGGCACGTTTGGAGGGTATACCCTTTGGTTGGTTGATGATGCATGGAGGGGATTGTAACCATGGCAATGAAATGATATACAATAGGATGAATGTCAAGCTA